GTGTTGTTAGTGTGCTTGTCAGTGGGGCTTTCAGTGTGCTTGTCAGTGTGTTTGTCAGTGTACTTGTTAGTGTAATTGTCAGTGTGTTGTCAGTGTGCTTGTCAGTGTGCTTGTCATGTGTTTGTCAGTTTACTTGTTAGTGTACTTTTTTAGTGTAATTGTCAGTGTGCTTTCAGGTGCTTGTCAGTGTGTTTGTCAGTGTGTTGTCAGTGTACTTGTTAGTTAAATTTGTCGTGTGCTTGTCTGGCTTTTTAGTGGCTTGTAGTGTCCCTTGTCGGTATGTTAGTGTACTTTCAGTGTGCTTGTTAGTGTGCTTTTTGTGTGTTGTTTTTGGTACTTGTCAGTTGCTTGTTAGTGTGTTGTCAGGGGGTGCTTGTTATGTACTTGTCAGTGTGTTGTTAGTGTGCTTGTCAGGGGTGCTTGTTAGTGTATTTTTCGTGGTTTTTTAGTGTGTTGTTTGTGCTTGTCGTGTGTTTTGTCAGTGTGCTTTTCAGGTGCTTGTCAGTGTACTTGTTGGGTGTATTGTTAGTGTACTTGTTAGTGTATTGTCAGGTCTTGTCAGTGGGTTTTTTTCAGGTGTTTTCGTTACTTGTTAGTGTACTTTTAGTGTATTTGGGTTAGTTACGTTAGTGTACTTGTCATTACTTGTCATGTGCTTTTTCAGTGTGCTTGTCGTTTACTTGTTGTGATTGTTAGGGTATTGTTTAGTTTTCTTGTTTAGTGTACTTTTTTAGTGTACGTCATGTACTTGTCAGTGTGCTTTTCAGTGTTTGTCAGTAAAATTGTTGGTGTACTTGCTAGTGTACTTGTCGTGTACTTGTCAGTGTGTTGTCAGTGTCTTGTCACTGTTTTTGTCAGTGTACTTGTTAGTGTATTTTTATTTGTACTGTCAGTGTGTTTGTCAGTGTGTTGTCATGTGCTTGTCGGGTGACTTTTTTCGTGTACGTCAGTGTGCTTTCAGTGGTTTTTTAGTGTATTGTCAGTGGCTTGTTAGTGTACTTGTCATGTCTTTTAGGTGCTTGTCAGTGTGCTTGTTGTGTACTTTCAGTGTGTTTGCAGTGCACTTGTTAGTTACCCTCAGTGTGTTGGGTCAGTTTTTCTTGTTATTTGTATTTGTCAGGTGCTTGTCAGTGGTTGTTGTGACTTGTCAGTGTGCTTGTTAGTGTCTTGTCAGTGTGTTTTATATATTTGTCAGTGGTTGTTGTGTGCTTGTCGGGTTTTTGCTTTTTTATTTGTACTTGTCAGGTGTTTGGTCAGTGTGCTTGTTAGTGTACTTTCATGTGTTTGTTAGTGTTGTTTTTTCAGTGTGTTGTTATGTACTTGTCAGTATGCTTGTTGTGTGCTTGCAGTGTGCTTGTTAGTGTATTGTTCAGTGTGCTTGTCAGTGTGTTGTTAGTGTGCTTGTCAGTGTTTGTCAGTGGCTTGTCAGTGTGCTTGTCAGTGTACTTGTTAGTGTATTGTCAGTGGCTTGTCAGTGTGCTTTCGTGTTTTGTCAGTGTGCTTGTCAGTGGCTTGCAGTGGCTTGTCAGTGTGCTTTTGTTAGTGTATTGTCATGTATTGTTAGTGTGCTTGTCAGTGTGTTGTTTTGTATTGTCATGTGCTTGTCAGTGTGTTGTTAGTGCTTTTTCAGTGTGTTTTTGTTTGGGTGCTTGTCAGGGGGCTTGTTGTGACTTGTTGTGCTTTTTATGTGCTTGTCGTGTGCTTGTTTGTGTATTGTCAGGTGCTTTTTAGTGTGTTGTCAGGGCTTGTTGGGTTTACTTGTCAGTGTGCTGTTTGTTGTGCTTGTCAGTGTGCTTTAGTGTACTTGTCAGGTGCTATCATGTGTTGTTTAGTGTGCTTTTCCGGTGCTTGCAGTGGCTTGTCAGTGGCTTGTCAGTTACTTGTTAGGTTTGCCCAAGTGTGCTTGCAGTGGGGTTTCGTGTGTTGTCATTTACTTGTTAGTGTATTGCGGGGTTTGCTTGTCAGTGTACTGTTAGTGTACTTGTCAGTGTGCTTGTCTTTTGGGCTTTTCAGTGTGCTTGTCAGGTACTTTTGTGTATTTTTGGTGTATTTGTTAGTGTGTTGTCAGTGTCTTTTCAGTGTCTTGTCTGTATTGTTTGTGTACTTCCCAGTGTATTGTCATGTGCTTGTCGTGTACTTTTAGTGTACTTGTCAGTGTGCTTGTAGTGTGCTTGTCAGTGTGTTTTGGTCGTTGCTTGTCAGGGTATTTGTTAGTGTACTTGCCAGTGTGCTTGTGTGTGTTTGTCGTGTGTTGTCAGTGTATTTGTTAGGTACTTCCAGTTGTTGTCAGTGTGCTTGATGTACTGCCAGTGTGCTTGTCAGTGTATTGGCAGTGTGCTTGTCAGTGTATTGCCATGTGCTTTCAGTGTTTTCCAGTGTGTTTGTGGGGGTTTGCCAGTGTGCTTGTCAGTGTATTTGCCATGTGTTGTCAGTGTTTTTGCCAGTGTGCTTGTCCCAGTTTTACTTGCCAGTGTGCTTCCCAGTGTACTTGCCAGTGTGCTTTCAGTGTATTGCCGTGGGGCTTGTCAGTGTATTTGCCAGTGTGCTTTTAGTGGTTTTTTCAGTGAGCTTATCAGTGAGATGTCAGGAGCTTGTCAGTGAGCTTATCAGGAGCTTATCAGGGGCTTGTCATGGTTTATCAGTGAGTTTGTCAGTGACTTATCACGAGCTTATCAGTGATCTTGTCGTGAGCTTATCAGTGGCTTATCATGAGCTTGTCAGTGAGTTACAGGAGTTATCGTGGCTTGTCAGTGAGTTTTCAGTGAGCTTGTCAGTAGTTTTATCAGGGTTTATCAGTGAGACAAGGTTAATGTTAACATGTTTTCCCGGGGGGCTTTTTTTTTACTCAAGGGCCCCCCAACGTGCGCCATTTTTTCTGTCATCCTTTAACTTTTTTTGTTGTGAAAATCTCAAAAATTTAAAAAACAAGAGACTTTTTACCTCTTTTACAAAATATATTTTTTCTTTCATCATCAACACCAGGGCTTCCTCAGTCCAGTACAGGAAAAACGGTGAAAATTGAAATAAAAGGAAAATTTTTTTGCAATCAGCCCTTTTTTACCTGGAGATAATGTCCATTTAGATAATGGGGGTCCATCCTGTGTATGACATTTAAAAGGTCACTGTAATAGACAGCTATAAGGTCACTTTTAAAGACAGCTAAAAGGTCACTGTAAAAGACAGCTAAAAGGGGTCTTGTCAAAGACAGCTAAGGTCATGTAAAAGAATTTAAAAGGTCACTGAAAAGACAGTATAAGGTCATGTCAAAGACAGCTAAAGGGTCCTAGAGGCTTTTTTTTTTAAAAAAACGGCCGTCTCCCCCGGGGGTAGGGTGCCCCGACAAAAGAAAAAATACCCCCACTGTCGCTCTTCAATCACTCTTTTTCCCGAAGCACCCCAAACGTATTAAAGGTAACATTCCCAACGCTCCGAAGTAGGCATGTATTTTCCCACCTCCGGACCCCAAGGTCTACTTGAAAAATTTTAAGACAGCATTAGGCCACGAAAGCCCACTTTTATTTCCCAATGTTATAGACAGTATTTTGATCAATTTTTTTGCAAATTGTTTACATAGTAATTATCAGGAAATCTTTTAATTGAAATCCATTTTAAATTCACATCGTTGTGATCACACGGCCTCCCCTGAGGTACAAACAATAACAAGTACTCTTTTTGATATGTACAAATGATCACAGTACTCTGTAATACAAAACCTGCATGTGTCCGTGTTGGAGTGCATGACGTGTCCCTTGCTAAAGGACAAACTCTTCACAACTCAACGGAAAACGGGACTGTTGACAATTTGGGGCTCAAACTTTGGGACGATGAACGGGGAGATATGAACAACTGCCCAGGAAGGTCACCGAATGGGGAAAGGGAGGAGAAGAAGGAGCAGCGCAGAAGGGGAAGGGAGCGGGAAAAAACAGGCAAGTGGAATTTCTTCATTTGTTTTAAAATCTATCGACTACACGAAGGTCATAAAACTGAATTTTACTAACTTTAAAAAAAATCTCTATTTTCCCAAAAAAAAAGTATATTACTTTTTCATGTTTTTTTCGAGGTATGATTATAATTTGGGGGGAATTTTCACTTTTTTTCCAACAATTTTTTTTTTTAAATAACCCTAATAAAAGTTTGTTTTACACAGTTTAACTTTCCCAGCATGATTGGTGTTGTCTTACACAGGATAAAAATTTCCAGCTGACTTGAGTTTTGTCTTACACAGGTTTAAAACTTTCCCACATGTCTTGAGTTTTTTCTTACACAGGATACGCATTCCAGCATGATTGCAGTGTTGTTTTAAAAAGGAT